CTTTCTGGAAAACAACAAATTTTTACATTTAGGCACACCTGCAATAGTCACACTTTTTCTGTTACAAACTGACTCCGGCCCCCCACCAGAGAAGTGAAAAGTTAGGTGGCCCTTACAGGAAAAAGTTTGGGGACCCCTGCCTTAGTTCCTTTAAAAATATACTGAACCACAGGATCGCTAAAAGGAGTTAATTCAGTTTTTTATTTTGTTGTTTGATACAGGCAGACGTCAGTGAGCGACCGCAGGAATAATCAATAAATTTAGTACAGAGAGAATATTAAAGACGACAGAACAGCAACTTCGTAGTTGGTTTAAAAAGTATTGAACCACAGGATCGCTAAAATTAGTTAAGTCAGTTTGTTTTGTTTGATATGAGGCAGCAGAGGTCAGTCACACTATAAATACGTTGGGGTCCACTTCAGTCCAGCTGAGATCTGCTCCACATCTCTTTTGGTTCCGCACTGCTGGGTTCTTTATGAATGCACATTCATTCAATCACATTTGAGCAGGACCTGGCTGGCTTCTGTGACTTATGATTGAACCAAGGGAGCTTAAAGCCGGACTGGTCTGTGCGGCGATTTTACAGAATTGTCTTGTGAAAGAGTCTACAGTTTCTTTGCTATGCAGATGACACCCAGCTCTACTTTTCTGTTAAACCCAACTTATCTCTTCTTTCTACCTGCCTCTCTAACTGACCAGGGAATCAGGTCTTGGTTCGCCAATAATTTTTTAAAACTTAACAGTGACAAAACCAAAATCTTACTTGTTGGGTCTAAATCCACCATCTCCAAGACTAAAAGTGTTTCCATTTACATTAACAATTCGTTGACAATTTGCTAGTTTTTCCCTTTCCCCATAAGAATCTGGGTGTCATCCTTGACAGTACCTTATCCTTCCACTCTCATGTAAATAATGTCACTCCATCATCTTATTTCCACCTCCCTTAAATCCAACAATACAGTCATTCTGGTTCACACTCTGTTCACATCTTGCCTTGATTACTGTAATTTACTTGTCTTTGGTTTACCAGACAAACTCCTCCATTAACTCTAAATTGTTCAAAACTCTGCCGCTCGTATTATCACCAGAACACCTCCATTTGTCATACAACAGTCCTACAGCAACTACATTGGCTTCCAAATAAATACTGCATCATTTACAAGATCCTGCTTCTTTCATTTAAGGTCATTAACTACCTTGCCCCTCCATATATTTCCTCAATTCTCCATGCCTACATCCCCATCCGCAATCTTACCAACCTAACCGATCCTCCACTTCCTCCCAACTTATTGTTCCTTCTGCTCATCAGACCACCATGGAGTCAAGTACTGTGTGGTATGAGGGCCAAAATTAAGACTATTGCTCAGCCATCAGTTGCTACAGTACATCCTTGTAGCAGGAGGAAATATCTATTCCTAAGCCAGCTATTGATCTGATTAATGATAGGCTGGCACCGGTAACTGAGCAGCTGGCCCCAGTAACAGAGAGGCTGGCGCTGGCTAAGGAGACTATTCATTTGCATTAGCATCAAAGAGGCTAGCGACTAGCATGACTAGGCTGCTCACCTACTGACCCTACTGACCCAAACATTTTTAATCAAAGAAAACTTTCTCAACAAAAATGGTTGACACACAAAAACTACAAGTGACATGCACTAACAGGTAGACAGAATTTACTGTTCAACATGACATCAAGCATACATATTAAACATAAAACATACTGTATTCCTGTGAAGCAGACAGTTTTAGTTACCAACTGAATTAGCTGCTGTGTTTGCCCGTCCACTCTCTTTCGCTGAGTTATGAGAAAAGCCAGAACTTTTAAGTTGGGGGTTTTTACAGTTTTTGACTGGGTATTAAATTAGGCTTCTCTATATTGAATTATAATTTATAATGTCATATACAGACATCACTCATAATATCTGTTATTATCCATTATGCCTATGAGTTTGCAATTCACAATTTAAAGCATGTTTAGAAGCAGACATAAAAATGTGCTAATGGTGTGTGTGTGTGTGTGTGTGTGTGTGTGTGTGTGTGTGTGTGTGTGTGT